GACTCTCCCGAGAACACACTCCAATATCCCCTCTCCTTGACATTTGCTCACTCTTGGGCGGTGCTGTTCGTTGATGTGTTCTCTTAATTTTTTTTCTCCAAGTTTCTATTTTCCTTTTTCACCAGGGGAGAGGATTGTGTTTACTGCACTACTTTTGCTGAAAACTCAAAGCTAAGAAAACAGAGTTATTAGCTTTTATTAATCCTGAGCATATTAGCCGGGGTTCTCCAGAGAAATGGAACCAATAGGATGTGTGTGTATATATAGAAAAAGATTCATTTTAAGGAGTTGGCTCACACAGTTATGAAGGCTGGCCAGTTACAGATCTGCAAGTTCAAGTTCAAAGGCTGGGCTGCAGCATGCCCTCTGGGTGGAGGTCAGCCTTTTCTGTTGAGAGGAAGGCAAAGGAACAGATCACACGCATCTGAATGGACTAGGGAGCACCAGGAACTTAAATGTTGCTTTTTACAGGACAAATGTCATAAAAATATTTTTAAAAAAGTTTGACCTCATATTTGGACATCACAGGCCAGACAGCTTGCCCCTATGTTGATAAAATCATACTAATTTTTGTTAGTGTTTCAGTTTAAAACACTAAAATTGGGGCTGGGGTCATATTTCAGTGGTAGACCATTTGCCTAGCACATTCAAGGCACTGGGACCAATTGTAGCACACACAACAACAACAACAACAACAATGGAACAACAAAAAGGCACAGATACGTATTTCATGCAAAGAGTGTTTTGAAAACTAGGACAAAATTCAGTGTACCAATACTTAGATTCTGAGATGAAAGAGATGAGAATTTCCATCATCTTTAACTTTACAGGATGCTTTAATCAGATTTTTTTTGCTGATGTGACCAAAAGACCGGACAAGAGCAAATGTAGAGGAGGAAATGTATTTGGGGCTCTTGGTTTCAGACATCTCAGTCCACAGGTGACAGCTCCATTCCTCAGAGCCCGAGCCATGGTGGAGGAGTGTGGTGAAGAAAAGCAGCTCAGGACACTCACCAGGAAGCACAAAGACTAAGCTCCACTCACCAGGGACAAAATATAAACCCCGAAGGCACTACTTGCAGCCACACCCTGCCGGCCTTGGTACCACCCAGTTAATGCATTCCAGTGGGTGATTTCACTGATCTGGTTAAGGTCTCCCACACCAATCCTTCCACCTCTAACCTTTCTCTCATTGTCACACACATGAGCTTCAGGGGACACCTCACATCTAAATCATAGCACAAGGACTTGCTTGTCTTCTTACTTTGCAGCTGTTGCCGCTGTTCAATCCAGCTCCAGTTAGACCATGTATAATTGGGATAATTGCAGCCATCTCTGTCGCAGTGTAGTTGAAGATGCCGTTCAGTGCCAGGGATGTCTTCCCTGAGTGAGTGTGTGCACACACGTGTGTTCCCGCGAAAACCTCATGATACCCAGATCCTTATTCATCAGCTGGCTGTGTCCTGGTTCTCCCAGCCTTGGGATGAGGGGGGCAGAGTTGTGGTGGAACTGACACCAGGATCCCTGTCTGTTTCTCTGCTCAGCGCGGGAACCCACAGCTCTGTGGTTTCTCAGTTATACTCACCAGTTAATCCCCAAATATCCATGGCTTGTAACAGGACCCTTGTGGGACCCGGATATTGAATGACTAAGGACAAATAATGCCTTTGCTGTGAGCCAGCTCCATGCAGTGGCCCAATTTCTAGAAAACAGCTTCTTCAATCTTGTGCAACTTGTGCCAAGGCAAACCTCCTGGGAACGGCCGGGAAACGGGACTCACATTCCCAGCCATGGGTCCAGCCCCACTCAGGGGCACACGGGGGCTTTTACTTACATACCTCAGCTTTCCATATGGCCCTGTGGCTCCTCACACTTGGCTCTGATGAAAGGACCCCACAGGCCTCTGTGATCAGAACTGGATCTACTGATGTGAATGTAACACTGAACGCTCGTGTCTTTAGTCTTGATGAGAAGTCTTTGCTTTTTTGTCCCTAAATCCAGATTAAGATAGCTGAAAATGTAAAGATGGGTTGGGAAAAAGGCAACGGGGGCCTGGTGAGACCTCCCCAGGAGGTGGACCTCTCCCTGGGTCACCGCTACTGCCCACAGAATCCACCTATCTGCAGCCCCCAGACTCACAGCACCCTCTCCCCGCTTCCTGTCATCTTTCATCCCTTTCCCGCTAGTCCTCCCTGACCTCCTGTTCACCTAGCTGACACTATTACCCTCAACTGGGGTGTCCCCAGGGCGGCCACTCTGTATAGCAATAGTCAGTAGCACAGCAGCAGCCGCAGTCTCAGTGTGTGCCCACAGGATTGCCAGGGAATACCTAATGCCTGCTGTCTGCATGCCCCCTGCCCATGTGTTCTGTGCCATCCTAGGGGCTCAATAAAGAGCCCCCTCATCACCCTGCCTGAAATTAGAGCATCAGACAGAAACAGGAGTGAGACAGATGGAGATGAGAGCTGCACCTCAGTGGCGGATGCTGCTGACTGGGAAGGCTGGCTTCCATCTGGCCCCAAAAGAATCAAGCCAGTGGCCTCTCTCCCTGGTGAAACCCACAGACACAGGACCCCCCGGAGACTTTCCCCAGAAACTTAGGAGAACCAGGAGCCAATGAGAAGGGGTGCTGTCAGAAAGGGGAGGAGGGCTGTACAGAACCTGCTCAGGTCCTTCCCCCAACTCTCCAGGTCCCTCTCCTCTGCCACGTGAGGCAGAGACACGGCCTGGACAGGGCTGGTGACTCTGGCCTTGCTCCTTCACGTGTGGGTAGTCAGTCAGGGGTCTCCCGGGAACCGGAGCCAACAACAGGTAAGTCTGTCTGAGGACAGAGAAGTCCAGGTTAAGGAACTGGCTCATGCCATTCTGAGGGCTGGTGGAGTGACGTCTGGACAGCAGCCCACGGGCTGGAGGTTCAGCTGAGAACTGTTGTGGACAGGAGTCAGAAGCCTGGAGACTCAGGCAGAACTTCTTTTGCAGTCTGGAGATGGAAGTCCTTCTTCAAGGAAACCTCGGTCTTTGTTTTGAAGTCCCTCAGCTGATTGAAAGAGGCTCACCCACCTTGTGAAGGGTCACCTGCTTTACTTAAAGTCAGCAGCTTTCCTTGTTGATCTCTTGTAAAAATAATATGCTCACAGCAACAACCAGCAACAACTAGAATAGTGTTTGCTCAAACAAATCTGGGAGTGATAGTCTAGCCAAGCTGATGCTTAAAATCAACCACCAGCGCATGGAAACTGGGACAGGATGACAGGATGCTCGGGGGGGGGGGGGTGAGCATACAGACAGACCTCGTCTTCACAGCAACAGGCACCTTGGTCCTCAAGGAATGGTCCTGGGGGAATGGCTTTCCCTGGGTCCCAAGGGTGTGGCTATGGTTCCTTTGGATGCCTGGAGTCAATACAGCTGATTTGGTCAGGGAGACTTAAGTCTAATCCTTGGGCACCAAGTTGTTTTTGTTGTACACACTTAAGGGTAAAAAATGTTAAACCTTGGTATGTTTGTCCATCTATCCATTAAGCATATACACGGTATTTTGTGTACAGTTGTTCCTGGTATGCATGAGGTGTAGATTCTAAGACAGATACCAAAATCTTTAGACACTCGATCCCTTGTACAAAATTAGGTGTAGTATTGTACATAACATGCACAGTTTTCTGTGTACTTTAGAACATTTCTGCATCACTCATAATACCTAATGCACCATCAACGCTATGTAAACAGTCGTTCTACTGCATTGCTTAAGAAATAGTCACAGGAAAAATTCTGTGCATGTTTACTACAGATACAATCTTTTCTCTTTCTGAAAGTTTTTGATCTGTGGTTGGTTGAACACCTACAAATGCAGGCCATTATAAACTACAAATCAGAATTAAGGGTAGACAAGGATGGAATGTCTTACTTTTCACAGTTCAAAACTACCTAGACTTTCTCCTTTAATGCTTTTTGGTGAGAGTATTATGAGGGAATATGCACTGTTGGGAAGAGAGGGGAAGAGGGACAGAGGACCATCAGATAAGACAGGAAGGAGTATCAAAACAGCAGCAGCAAACCCCTCCAACCAGTGATTATATTAAGTATAAGCCGACTAAACTCCCCACTTAAAAATTGTTTTGAAGAAGATTTTTTTTTTTGACGCCCAGATAGGGTGTATTTCAGTTTCTTCTGAGCCTTGGTCTCCCTGGCCACATGACCTAGGGATGGAAAGCTCCGTGGCCAGCGCCTCCAAATCATGGTGCTTAATCTTGTGCACAGTTGTGTTCAAGTTTTTGACAAAATTCGGGTGATCACTTTCCCTCTTTCCTGATCAATCAGTCTTCTTGGAAAACACCACAAGTTCTTACATTTTAGTTTTCTTTTAATTTAATTTTATTGGCTCCTCTTTTTAAAATTTTTATTTATATATGATAGCTGAATGCATTACAACTCTTATTACACACAAAAAGCACAATTTTTCATATCTCTGGTTGTATAAAAAGTATATTCACACCAATTTGTGTCTTCACACCTGTACTTTGGATAATAATGATCATCACATTCCACCATCATTTAAAACCCCCTGCCTTCTCCCTTCAAAACCAAATGCTGAATATTTTCTTTGATATAAGGAGGCTGATTCATACTGGGGTAGGGAGGGGGAGCATGGTGCTTCTTAATTGTACATGACAGTAGAATCCATTTGGGTAAATTACACAAGCATAGGATATATCTTATTCTAATTAGGACCCCATTCTTGTGGGTGGGTATGATGGTGGGCTTCATTTAGGTAATTTCACATGTGAATATAGGAAAATTATGTTAGATTCATTCTGCTCGCTTTCCTAGTCCCATCCCCGCTCCCTTCCTTTGGTCCCCCTTTGTCTAATCTACTTAAGCTATGGGTTTGAGACTCATGGAATCTTTATTCAGAAAGGTTTATACATATATATATATATATATATATATATATATATATATATCTGAAATTAAAAATTATATTTGGAAGGTATATAAATATATCAATACAAGAGTTTTTATATTGATTTTGGCAATAAAATCACAAAGATATTTCTAAATACATGTTTTTCAAATAATTTATCCACAGCCTGTGTTCTTAGTTCTAAAAATATGGTTTCTCCCTTCATGGTTAAAATGGTTCATCTTACTCGGAATGGAGAGATTACAGGTGTGCATGTGTTCAAAAATATCCCCTACCTAGTAACCTAGTATAACACTGGATATTTTTTTGTTATAGCAGGAAAAGTCAAAAACAAATTTGGGTTCTTATAATTTGTGGAAAAGGAAAACACCTCTCTCCTCTTTAAATGTGATGCTTCCTTCAGTACTGTGCACAGGACAGCCAGAAGACCCCCACCTGGGGAGACGTTGAGCATCTTCCTTCCACCTGTGGTCTCGTCCTTCTGTGAATGGCCACCGGTCCTCTGGTAATAGGGGGGTTGTTGGTCTAGCACACACGAACTCCAAAAAGAAAAAAAGACTACAGATTGCTGGATGGAATCAAAAGCAGAATAGAACTCTTTAGGTTACGATATCATCATTTCTCAACCAAAAAACAAAACGCTGTCCACTCTTCCACAGCAATCTGTGTTCTGGAAGCAAGAGACCACTGTGGGATCCTTCCTCCCATGGCAAGGCCACAGGCAGAGACAGAGCTGAGTGCAGAGAGCAGCTGTGACCTGTCCCGTTGTGCAGCTCTGCCAGCCTCCAGGAAGCTGGTCAGCCTCTCCCCACCCTCCCAGCAGACAGAGGTCCTCGGTCCCGTGGTGCCCAGCCACCCTGTTGGCAGCTCAGCACTGCAGCTGTAGTGCTTCCTGTTCTGCACTGGGACTGTGGATGTGGCATCTCACCTGGAGTGGGACACATTTTGTGTGAGGTCTAAGAGAGCTCCCCCAAGAAGGCCATTCCCTTCCCCCGCCCCCTGCCACCATGGTGGAACTGTCTCCCAGCCCTCCTTACCTGGATGACAGCACTCACAGGTCACCTGGGCTTCCTTGTCATCAGCCTGGGTGAAGAATCTCCTGGGAGAGAAGATTTTCATGTGAGGGCTTCACAGAATGCAAGGAGAGCAAGAAAGATTCCAAGCGCCCCGTCTTTGCCACCCTCCCCCTGCAGGCTGGAGTCAGTGAGCCGCAGTTGGCCCCACCTGGCTGATCTCGTCTGCCATGGAACTCAGGGCAGGGACTCGGCACCTGCCCAGATTCAGTTTCAATTAACAATAGATAACCAAATGTTCTTTTGTGTTATTAATATATTAAATTGGGTTAAGTAGGCATTTAGAAGCCTAAGTGAGAAACCCAGTAATCCAGAGGAGATAGAGCTTACGAACGTATCCATCTGTTGATCTCTTGGCTTTTGTATCACTAGCAGAATTCTTGCTACTACTGAGAATTATCATCTTTTAAGTGACTGCAGGGGATGGAGATATGCACACCTCTTCCAGATTGACAGATTTAGCTGACAACAAAATGAAAGAGTCCTACACACCTGCCCATCATTGCCTGGGCGTCCCCCAGCCAGCCCAAATGGCCTGAGGAAAAGGAAGCACTCTTTCTGGAGCCACAGACACTGTCCCCGTTCACTTTCTGCATGGGCTCAAGGCCACCCTCATTTTGTGGAGCCTCCAGCCTTATGTGCAAGGCTCCCACACCTACCAGGGAACCTCAGGAAGGTGGATTTTAACTGAGAGGCTCTGAATTCACAGTATTTCTACCCTGGGCTGAGGGGAATCCTGCACTGGGGGAGATGAGGTGGGGAAGGGTGTTTCCTCTGGGCTCTTAGCATGAGCCTGGAGTGCAGTTCCTTTCCTATGACTGATCTGCACACATGGGTTCTGGAAGATCAGCAGGAGACCTCCGTAGATACAGTGCTGCATGGGGCTGGTGGAAGGAACTCAGGCCCAAACCCTAGGAGGGTCAGGATTCTGGCAAGAGGGACCCAGAGATCAAACAAACACCTGAGGCCAGAAACACTCTACCTGGAGTTTTATAGATCCTTGAACTCTCCCTTGGAAGGAGGTGTGTGCTATATGGGAATTGCTTCCTCTAAACTGGGTACAGGAGGCGTGGAGACCACTCAGCCAGTGGGGCTGGGAGGTGCTTTCCAAAGCGTGACTCTTGGGAGAGTCCTCTGCGGATCTCTGCAGCCTAAGAGAGTTGTCTGCTCCTCTGACTCAAGCTGGAAGCTTCCAGGTGGGGTATTCCAAAGCCTTATAAATTAGAAATGGTTTTTCAAGGTAAAACTAGCACTTTCTGTTTATGGGAACCATAAAAATTGAGGTTATATGAACATTTCAAAAGAATCTCTTCATAAAGCTTTCTAATAAAAAAAAAATTAATGGTAAAACCTGGGACAAAATAACCCAAGGAGCATAGCCATGATTTATTCAGGCTAAAAGATGTGTGGGTTTTTTTCCCCTTCTCACTGCTGAATTGAAAACTCATTTTAAAATGTTTTCCTAAATTGTAAAGAGCTATTTCTGTTCTCCAATAAGACTTGCACTTTCACAGAGGGCTCGTAAGGAAGGACTTTCTTTTCGTGGATGGAGTAGACGCTCCGTGCCAGGCTTGACTGGTTGCTGTCCTCCTTTTCTTCCCCACTGGTGCAGGGTAAGGCACCAGGTGATCACTGGTGACCCCTGCGTTTCTCACTGTCCAACTGGTGTGCACCAAGATAGCTTCTAACACGGCAGCCAACGCTTTCTTCCCAGTCAGGGTTGATCTTCCACTTTTTGGCCTCAACAATTTAGTCCGTCGCACGCTGAGTGTGCACCCATGCTGGCAAGCAACTCACAGGCCCCAGGCTCATTGAGACGTCTGCCCTGAAAGCAGGGAGCAGATCACCTAGGAACTGACATGGAGTGACTCCACTGTCATGAAGAGGACACCCCAGTGCAGATGGGCTCGTGTCATGCGTGTTGGAGGCCAAGTATAGCTGCACCTGTGCCCCAGGGGCAGGAGCCAGAGCAGGTGGAGCTGGGGGCTGCTGTCGTGATGGGGGCCACCACTGCTCCTGGGCATCAGCCCCCTCTGTAGAGGCTGCAGTGACACACTGCCTGGTCCTCCCTTGGACAGACCTGGAGGGTCATTTCCCCAGTTCCCTTCTGCTTCAGTTGGTGCCCAGCCTCATTTCTGTCACTCTTCATTGGGTCCTGACAAGTTGCTTGGTAGATATTGCCTGTTCTGAGTCCATTTGTGTGTTTTGTTGGTTTGTTTATTTAATCCTCAGGGGAAAGTCTATCATCACTTTTTGCAAGATCTCAGCACACCCACCTCCCTATGCCTCCAAGGGCCTTCTGGGCTGGCAGGCAGGAGGAGCCAGTGCTAGTTTAGCACTCACATTGTGCCAGGAACATTGTCACTGAAAACACACAGGGTGGGGGCACTTCATTTGTGAGGCTTGTAACAGAGCTAAGATTCCCACTTAAGATTCTTGTGAAGCCCAGGGTCTGCCGCAGTGTGTTGGCCTGGTTCTGTGGTTCTAAACGCCCTGCCCTCTCCTGCACCATGCAGACTGAGCTCAGCTGACGGAGCTCTCCTGGCTTCCTGCATCTTCATCCTTCCTCTCTTACAATGGGCTTCCCTGGAAAGTTGGTCCCCCCATGGTCCCCCTTGTACCTGGGTACAGACCCCTATTAAAACATCTACCAGTTCAATTGCTAACTCACATCATGGCCTGGATTCCTCTATGAAGACCAGGTATTGTCCTCGGAGTCTGTTTGTCCTCAGTCTCTAGCTTGCTCAGTCTCTGCTTGCTCCTGGCATTTGATGAAATATTCAGATGCATCTCAAGATCTCTTCTCTGGGTCACCAGCCAGCGAACTACTCTGCACAATTTGAACTTGCCAGCTCCCATGATCATGTGAATTGTTTCCTTAACATGAAATTATTTAGATGATAGATAGATAGAGATGCAGCATCCTGTGATTTCTGTTTTCTTTAGCGAACTCTGATTAATACACATGGTTACTTGAGACAGTATTAGAAATCAGGAGAATAACATGAAGGAATTAAAACAGTAAAAACCCATTTGAAAATAATGACTCATAAAGTAAGGGTAGCATTTTTACTAAAAATAGGATGTTTGGAGGAAAATAATAGAGCGTAACAGAAAGAGTTTTTTAATTGTATAAAGAAAGGAATATAACGTTGCATTTTGCTGTGGTCAGGAACCTTGCCAAAGAAGATTTTCTTGCACTTTATCCCCCAGTCTTCCAGGCTGAGCTTGGCACTGGAAGGAGCTTGTGTTCTGAAGCTCTGACCCGGGAATATGAAGTGAGATGGGAGACTTGAGGTTGACCACCAGCCACTGAGTCCTTGCTGATTCTGGAATCCTTCTCAGTGGTGCAGGGGGAGATGAGAGCCCAGATCCCAGGGGACTGGGGATCACAGGCTGTGGAATTTAGATTTATCACTTAGATGGGTGTTTTTCAATGGGGTTTGCACTGGTTAGTGGGTTACGATATCAGTTCAGTGGGTTCCAACCAGCATTTTAAAGGAAGAGAATAGTGCGCATTTCATGTAAAAAGAGTAAGGTTTATATTTTGGGGAGGATGGGGCATGGGAGGGACAATTCTCTCTTTCTACATATTCTCAATGTGTGTGCACAGACCTTTCTTTCGTGCATTCATCCTGACCACTGCTGAACTGTGGGAACCACTTAAGAAGTTAACGATGGGAGCAAGGAGCGGCTTCTGCACTGGGAAATGCAGTGGTTTCCATGGGAGCAGGGCTGGTTAGGGGTGGGCTCTAGGACCCTAAAGCTCAGGCTTTACGGGCCTGGGTCCTCAGCTATAGAAAGCATCATAACCATTGCCAACCCTTGGGTTTTCTGTGCCAGTAAAGTCTGAGGCCTGCCATTGCCACACGGGAGGCCGGCACCGACCCACCAACCGTTCATGGTGGAGGACGTGCTGCTGGTGTGGACTCTATTGGCTTCATGTTCTGATACTTACTGTATTTATTTTCATTCAGTGGCTGGTACCTGAAAAACACTGTATGATCTACCCAAAGGTAGGCCACTGGACCTTGAGATGCTTATAGCCAGGGCCGGCTGGTGGCCTCTGACCCCGTGTACCCAGCCATCTGAAGGACCGAGGGCCCCTGAGTTGTGGAGACAGTGATCCCTGCCTCCTTTCTCTGCTTGCTCCTCCTAACTTGTTCCATGCCTGCAGTTTCAAAGGCCACGGAAGCCAAGTAGTGGGACAGATCTGGTGTCTCAAACGTCACCGATTCTCTTGACATTCATTCGATGCAGATTATGTGCAAGTCACTTGACAGTCTTTTAAAAGAAATAATGGTCACATTTATTTGTGTGGCCATCTAAGGACTGAATGGCTTTGTCGAAGACCTGTGCTGTGGGGCTTCTATTTGATGTTGAGATAGAAAGGAAATCTCACACACACCCAGCGCTGAAGCCAACCGCGCACCCCATGTCTGCTCTTCCAGACCCCAGTTAATGACATCTCTGAGACTTGACGTATAAGTAGTGCTTTATTTATTTTTGATGAACTCAATCCTTGATGGGATTTTTAATTAGTCAATTTTTAATAGTACAGATCAATGATAAGCAAGGGAGGAACTGGGCGAGAGGAATGAAATGATCGTCAGCACTTTGATCGCTCCCATCAACAGCAGCCCTCTTCTTGAGAACCCCATATCGCATCTCCTCGCCTTGTACGTCAAACAATGGGAAAGGTTTTGATTCATCTGCCTTTGGGTAGAATATTATTATTAAAGTTCTGCTGCACATCAAGATGCCTGTGATGCTGGGAGATAATGTAGCGGCATTTCTATTTCTCAGTTATTTTGGGCATTTCACTGCCACTTATTTTGACACTTTCCCAGGGGTGGGTTGCTACACAGCAAAATGCAGTCGAAAGTGAGTGAATTCTGTGTTTTCCTCCTTAATGATGCTCTCAGAAGATGGTGCTCCAGTGAGCCTGGGAATGTTCAAGAGGGAAATGGAGGAGGATTTATGTTTGATATTAATTACACCGCCGAGAAATAGCTGGCTCTCTATCCCAGAGCTGCCTTGGAAACTTCTTATTGTTCACTGTGCGTCTGTTGGAGACGCCCGTGACAGCTTATGAATCAAACTAATTGTAACTCTTACTTGGTTATGAAAAAAAATGACATGTGCGTTCTTCTAAATTAAGTCTTTCTCACACAAATTACAGGTTGCCTCTGTGGATCAAGCAACATGTATTCTGAA